TCCTGGTCGGGGCCACCTGTGGAGCTTGTTGACAAGTTCTTTTGTATCCCTGCCTCACCACTGGTTTTAAATCTTGTTTTGTGTTCCTCATTCAGTTGTTTGGATCTAACTTCTGAAGTCAGCACTTCATCACTATGGCATTATTGTAGTATTTTGGGAACTTGAATTTACTTTGGCAATTTTTTTTCTTATTCTGTCATTAGCCGTTATCTTTTAATAAAAATGCACAATATTTGGAAAATCATAAATTCTTTCCTTTGTCAATTTATGATGTTATCTTCCCGACACTAGGTACATTTATTTACAGATACATATTTTCTCTCACCTATAAAGCGGACAGCTCGACGGATGTAGGAGTTAAAATTACAGCCTGCAGCACTGATGTTGGCCTCAGTCTGAGTAGTTGATGACCTCCTGGACAGATAGCAGTATAGGATAGCTTCTCCTATCAAGATCTACACACACACACACACACACACACAAAAAAGAAAAAAATATTATAACAAATGACACAAAGCTGGTTAGATAAAAATTTAAAAAAGACCAGCTTATCAGTGAAAGACCTTTTGTCAAACAAAACAGCATGCTGCATGTGTATTGAAGATAAACAGTCTGGAAGATAAACAATCTTTAGACATTAAATTTATAACACTGATTTTCTAACCTGTGCAATTATGTATGGGATTTTTTTTTTATTCACTAGCAAAAAAATTTGCATGTAAAAATACTGGAAATTCATATTTAAAAAAATATTTTACATTAGTTTATCAGCAAAAAATTTAACGCAAATATTCAAATGAAATTTGAGTCCTAGATAGAGTCAATTTGAGTCCTAGATAGAGTCAAGTGGCTGTTATCAAATCAAATTACCCTAATTTGGTCACGTGACACCGCATTTAAATGGCCTTCCATATATAAGCTGTCAGGGTTCTGTGTTGTGCTTATTCTCTTCCACAGGTGGTTGTTGTTGACAGGTGGGCGTGGCCCCGCACCTGCAGCTTGTCGAGGCTACTCGGCTGAGCTTAAGAGGAGTCAGCTGAAGGAGAGTCAAAATGTTGTGGTACGCCTAAGCCTCTGTCAACAGATCTCTGTAACCTGGTGTTTTGGATTCTTGATTCTAACCCATCTCCTGTCTCCCTCAGTTCGTTGAGCTCTGGATTGCTCGCCCGCCTGTCTCCATTTTCTGAAGACTGGTCTCTGAATCCCTGTTGCTCAGATTCTGCTCTGGCGTTTCCCTCGAGCCCCCTTGGTGCTACCAAGAGACCCCTTTACTGGATTTACACAGGTTCCTTCAGCTGCTCCTTGAACCTGCCTCTGCTGCGGTGCTGCTCGGACCCCCGCCTAAGTCCCACCTGTCGCTCAGCGACCTCCCCCCATCAGAAAGCTGTGAGATACAGAACCATTTCCTCTACTCACCCTGCCCTGATAGGTTATCCGTACCTGGCTGTAAGCAGAGCAATACCAGCGTTTTTTTTAAACCTTTTTCTAGTCTTAATCAGTCTCTTCTTTCTTCCTGCAGAACCCCGAACACTGATGTTACGAACCTCGCCTGCGACTCCCGTTCTGAACCTTATTTGTGTGTAGTTAACAAATGTCTTAAACTGCTCCTTGTGTCTGCATGTTGGCCAAACACCTTAAAACCATGACATCAGCACTGGCTCTAATCAGTGAAGCATTTTACCTAAGATGGTTTCAACAAAAGAGTTTTTTTTTTTTTTTCGTTTTTAAACTGGCTCGGTTCAGCTGACATGGAATTTAAGTGCTTTATTAGCTGCTTAAACCCATTTCTATAGGTATGGAGTTAGTCTCAATTTTCACAAATACACATATGTGATTCATACAGTCATGGCCAAAAGTAATGAGAATGACACAAATATGCAGCCCTCTGGTTTTCATGCGTGTATGTCAGATGTTGTCATCACAGAAGAGAAACAATGATGCCAAGCACCAGCCTCTTTTTAAAGTGGCCAGTGGTGTCATTCTTACTTAAAGGAGAAGTTCGGTTTTTTACACTTTAAGCCCATTTTCTGTAGTGTCCAGGATGAAATCGAATGA